CACTAGCTACTTAATATGTACTACTGAACACAACATACTCATCAACACTAGGTACTTACTTAATAGATAATCATTACATAAAGAGGCTCATGAACTCAACAAGTTGATATTAAACTTCACAAAAGTTCACTCAAGTACTCTAGTTACTTGATCATCATCAACTAATAAGATGGGCTAGCTAGCTACTCAAAAAACTAATCTTCAACAAGGAGTATGCCCAGCTGGATCAACTTCTTTCTATCCGCCGCTCCTCCTCTTCTGAAATGATCTATGTCCATCTTCAGGTCAAGCCTCTCACCTCTGAGGCGTCTCCTATCCTCCTTCAGTTTATCCCAACCCTCGACGAGGTTATCCCTCTCGTCCCTAAGCTTATTAGTCTCCTGTACGAGCCGAACAACATCGTTGCATAGCTCTTTAATCTCCCCCTTTATATCATCATTTGCCCCTTGCACGCTCTTGATGACATACTCAAAAGTGTTTAAGAATTCATTGTTAACCATGTCCACATCGCACACCGACTCGTTGTTGCCTCCAGAATTGGCCATGACCTACAAACACATCGCATATATATACGATCAAGATAATATGGAATGTAAAATAGTCCATGTGTTGGAAAGATATGATTTGTAAAGTTTCATTATCAAATACTTGGCGTGAGCTGTATCAAAACAGAATCAGATACGTATATAGTGAATAGTGCATGTGTTGGAAAGACATGATTTTGTTAATTAAGTAGAATAGATAACATTATGAATCTATTTTGATAAATAAGATATAGCAAACTGACTTCTATACATACACATACTATCATATATAAGAATAACTTATGTATGCAAAGTTGATTTACATATACCGGTCAACCTGTACATAAATGTGTAAAGAAAACTAAAATGATAACTTTGAAGAATATACATAACACATTCTATAAATTTCTATTAAACTAGCTAAGACCCGCCAACAGTCGGGAGACACAATAGCAATCGGATGATTATCACTACAATTTCCGTCAGTTTGGCCTGTCCGCGCGAACGGAGGAGTGGATCTAACCTTGGTGCCGGTGAGGGGTGGTGGTGGGGCGGCGGCGACTTTGGTCCAGGGGGAGTTGTGTCTACGACCGGGCCGGGTGGGGTGCAAAATGAGAGCAAGCGATGGATTTAGGTATTTTACTAGGTTATTGTTGGCGTTGGATAAAATGGCAACGCCATAGCTATCACATGCCAAATAAGAAAGACTAAAATTAATGAAAGACTTGACAAAATAAAAGACTCGAAATTTGAACTGGTGGTAAAAAATAAAATTCCTAAAATGATAAAAAGGTAAAAATAATGATGACAAAAAAGCATAATATAATTATATACTATGGCGTGCAAAGAAAAAGAACGCCAACACTACCAAAATAACTATGGCATGCAAAGAAAACCAACGTCACTAGTGGTTTCCAAATGAGTTAAATACACAGCGAGTGCCTTAGCTTGTCCATTATGGTCAGTTTAGTGCCTAAACTTGTAAAATACGTAAAAATGGTGCTATAACTTGTCACATGGTGCATATATGGTGTCTTTGTCCATATGCTGCCATATGTGCCATACTTGCCGCGAGTGCCTTAAATCTTTATTCTATTTTTATCATTGTGTAGTTCGAAGAGGTAAACATGAACTTTTTCTAAATTTATGTGGATTTAAACAGTTCAACATATATTATAAAATATTGTGCAAATGTTTATTTTTGTGTAATTTTGTATTTTGAAAAAAATTCAGTGTGTATTAAAAATGATTGTCTAAAAACAGTAAATTCTATAAATATGTTAAAACATGTTAAGCGTGTTTGTATAAATGTAAGAATAATTTTACACAATAAATTTTTAATACATGTTCAACATTTTATGAAATAGATGTTGTAAATTTTTTGAATGCATGACAAACATTTTTCAAAAACAAGTTTACAATTTCTTAATACATGTGAGAATTTCCAAAAGTATGTTGAATATTTTTTTTTCAAATGCACTAACACTTTTTAAAGTTTACTGCAGTTGTAATATTTTCTTATAGTTCTTTTCAAATGGGAAAATAATCAAGAACTAATTATGAAATTGAAAAAATAAATGAAAGGAAACCTTGTGCGGGCCCAGAAGAGCGCCATTCTGAGCTCCTGAATTCAAATTCCGGCAAGGCAACTTATTTTTCTCTTTCGGTTAATTATTATTCATGCAGTATCCTTTTTATAAATAGGAATCTATTTCCATACTGCAAATAGGACTATTATCGAAGTTTTTTTTGCATGATAATACGTGTTTCATTCATATCCGCGTATTGATTAACACATGGACGCATGATGCGTGCCCAGGTACTTGTTTCGTTCTGGCGCACCCTGTTTTTGTTCTTAGTACTATTTTATCCACGTACGTGGGAACCCAATCTGACAGGTGGGATCAATGCAATTCATCATATTTAAATAAAATGTGAGGTGCTTTTGCAAAATTCAGTTAAAGTACATGGAGTTTTCTATAAAACAACCAATATGGTCCACTCACAATCATTGACATGTGGGTCAATGCCACGGCAAGTGGGTAGTGCCTACGCCTGAATACGGATGGAGGCACCGTATTTGAACACTCGAACAAGTTACAATAACAGTTTCATGTATTTTGCAAGTTTAGGCGCCAAAGTGACCACGTTGGACAAGTCGAGGCACTCGTAGTGTATTTAACTTTTTCCAAATGGTGAGTGTATATGGGCCAATAGATTTGTGGCGTTTACAAAACAAACAACGCCAGCACTATGCTTGTAAAGCAGGCGTACGGATTTAGCCTACGCCGGCACTATCTGAGAAAAAATAGTGCTGGCGCGGACGTAAAATGCCGCGACGCCAACGAAAGTTGGGGCTAGCACTTTTTCCATTAGTGTCCGCCTCGCCAACATCCGCTGCCGCGAGGCTGCCGCCGCCTCCCGCGCTTGCTGCCATATTTTCATCAGACGACGCCCATGCGTTCACATCTGCCTTGGCGCACCAACGAAGCGGTTGAGCATCCGCCGGCGCGTTCGAACGCCAGACGGACCAGACCGCCTCTGGTGAGGCAGCAGCAACACACCTCTCGCCAGATCCATGCGCCATTTGGGCCGACGCAATGGATTCCCAACGAAAAGATTCCGAGTGATGTCGTTGGGCGGCCTCCTCTCAGGAGCGGTAGAGCGCAAGGGGAATGGTCATCTCCTCCTCGATGTCGTGTGGGATGAGCTCTGGTTCAATGGATCTGAAGGTGTAGGACTCGGATCCGCTGCCCGCCATGCCGGAGAAGATAGGAGATCGCTGGACGGGAGCTTGTCGGCGAACAGAGTGGACTAGAGGGGAGCGGAGTGGTGGAATGCGGGTAGAGTTTCTGCCAGATTGCATATATAAGGTCCTATTTATGTGGCGTCGGGTGGGCCAGAGTGGGTCGTATCTTACGTCGTGGTGCGTCCAATCGTCCTCATATCCACCTCTGATTTGGGCTGGATATCGGGAGGGCCGACCAGTTCAGCATTTGGGCCGGGTATACAGAGAGGCTGGTTGGGTGGTAATTTTTTGTCTGGACACTGACAGGACAACCTGTCTTGGCATTTGGAGCGGGTATAGAGGGTTCGGTTGTGGATACTCTCACGGTCCTCTTCACCAATTGAGAACTACTAACATTTTTTTCTTGTGAGATATTAATACAACGATATCTTTTAAACAAAAAACTGATTATTGAATATATATTTGAATTCCCAACGATAAGATTTTTAAAACAAGAGCAGTCTTGAATATATTTCAAATGAGTTTTAAAACACCGATTTCACTCATTAAAAAATGATTTCAATCATTTGAAACAAATTATTTCACTAATTTGAAATACATATTTCACTCATTTACAAATGATTTACTCATTTCAAAATACATATTTCACTTACTTCAAACCACCGATTTCACTCAATTCAAAAATATTATTTTGCTCATTTTAGAAAACACATTACACTCATTTACAAAAGAATGATTTCACTCATTTCAGAAAACACATTAGACTCCCTCAATTGAAGTACTATATTCCACTCATTTTTAAATACTGATTTCACTCAACACAAAATATATATTTGAAAGTACATTTCACTTCTTTCAAGAAACTAATTTCACTCATTTCAAAAAACACATTACACTCACTCAATTGAAATACTCTATTTTACTTGCTTCAAAAAAGTGATTTCACTCGTTACAAAAGATCAATTTCACTCATTTCACTAGTTTTAGAATACACATTGCACTCACAATATACACACTGAAATAAGGAGTTTCACAAATAATATTTCAATTTTAAAACTATTTAACTCGTTTAGAAAATATCATTCAAATAAAACTTATTTACTCATTTTGGAAAACTGATTTCACTCATTTGAAAAATACTAATTCACTAGTTTCATTTGAGAAGACATGCTTCAATTATTTGAAGGACCTAATTTCACTCATTTAAAGAGAAATACTTGTTTAAATAAGCTCGTATGTTTGACATATAAATGAAACGGAAATGCTTGAACAAAAACAACTTCACAAAAGAAATACTGAAATATGGATCTTCGGAAATATGGTATTTCAATTTTTTAAAATAGTAAAATTTGAACTAGTTCAAATATATTCAAATTGGTCTTGTTCTATAGATCTTTTTTTGTCAAGGAATTTGAATATAAAAAAATCAATAATAAAAGATGCGGGTGTAGGACGCAGTGGCCGTCTGTTATGCACAGGATTTGTTTTGCAGCCGGTCTGCACAGAACTTTTTTCCGAATATGACGCGAACGAAGATCGGGGCTCGGACTGAGATGCGAGCGTACGGGCCTTCCAACCGGAGTCGGCCGTGCCTTCAATAAAGGGTGCGAACCCCACGTCTCCAGCTCACCACAACACCAACGCAAATCAGCGCTCGACAACATCCAACGAGAGTAGTAATACATAAGAGACGCAGCAAGTCCATCGACCAACGAGAGTTGAAGGCGATGGCGACCGCGGCGACGTCGAAGAAGGCGGCGAACCGGCTGGTGGTGGAGGAGGCCACCACCAACGACGACAACTCCGTGTGCAATCTCCACCCCGACACCATGGAGAAGCTCTCCATATACAAAGGCGACATCGTGCTGCTCAAGGGCAAACGCCGCCACAACACGGTCTGCATGGCACTGCCCGACGACACCTGCGAGGGGCACAAGCTCAGGATCAACAAGGTGGCCCGCTCCAACCTGCGCGTGCGCATCGCCGACGTCGTGTCCGTGCACCTGTGCCACGACGCCAAGTTCGGCAAGCGCGTGCACATCCTCCCTCTGGACGACAGCGTCGAGGGCATCACGGGCAACCTCTTCGACGCCTACCTCAAGCCCTACTTCGTGGACGCCTTCCGCCCGGTCCACAAGGGCGACCTCTTCCTCGTGCGCGGCGGCATGCGGAGCGTCGAGTTCAAGGTCATGGAGATCGACCCCGCGGCGGACTACTGCGTCGTGGCGCCCGACACGGAGATATTCTGCGAGGGTGAGCCCGTCAAGCGGGAGGACGAGGAGAGGCTGGACGATGTCGGCTACGACGACGTGGGTGGCATGGGGAAACCGTTGACTCTGATCAGGGAGCTCGTCGAGTTGCCACTCAGGCATCCGCAGCTTTTCAAGTCCATTGGCGTCAAGCCTCCCAAGGGCATCCTCCTCTACGGCCCTCCCGGGTCGGGCAAGACTCTGATCGCCCGTGCGGTGGCCAACGAGACCGGGGCCTTCTTCTTCCTCATCAACGGCCCGGAGATAATGTCCAAGATGGCCGGAGAGAGCGAGAGCAACCTGAGGAAGGCCTTCGAGGAGGCCGAGAAGAACGCACCCTCCATCATCTTCATCGACGAGATCGACTCCATTGCCCCTAACAGGGAGAAGACTCACGGCGAGGTCGAGAGGCGCATCGTCTCCCAGCTGCTGACGCTCATGGACGGCATGAAGGCCCGCGCGCACGTCATCGTCATGGGTGCCACGAACCGTCCCAACAACATCGACCCTGCCTTGAGGCGCTTCGGGAGGTTCGATCGCGAGATCGACATCGGCGTGCCGGACGAGGTCGGGCGTCTCGAAGTGCTCCGCATCCACACAAAAAACATGAAGCTGGACAAGGACGTCAACCTACAGGTGATTGCCAAGGATACGCACGGCTACGTCGGTGCCGACTTGGCCGCGCTCTGCACCGAAGCGGCGTTGCAGTGTATCAGGGAGAAGATGGACGTGATTGACTTAGAGGACGACACCATTGATGCCGAGATCTTGAACTCCATGGCCGTCACAAATGGCCACCTTAAGACGGCTCTCGTGGGCACGAACCCGTCCGCGCTTCGTGAGACCGTTGTCGAGGTGCCCAACGTCAGCTGGACCGATATCGGTGGGCTCGACGGCGTCAAGAGGGAGCTGCAAGAGACCGTCCAGTACCCGGTCGAGCACCCAGAGAAATTCGAGAAGTTCGGCATGTCGCCGTCCAAGGGCGTCCTCTTCTACGGGCCACCAGGATGCGGCAAGACCTTGCTGGCGAAGGCCATCGCCAATGAGTGCCAGGCCAACTTCATCAGCATCAAGGGGCCAGAGCTGCTCACTATGTGGTTCGGCGAGAGCGAGGCCAACGTGCGCGAGATCTTCGACAAGGCGCGTCAGTCTGCGCCGTGCGTGCTGTTCTTCGACGAGCTCGACTCCATCGCGACCCAGAGGGGCGGCAGGGTGGGCGACGCCGGCGGTGCGGCGGACAGGGTCCTGAACCAGCTGCTCACTGAGATGGACGGCATGAACGCCAAGAAGACGGTGTTCATCATCGGCGCCACCAATAGGCCGGACATTATTGACTCGGCGTTGCTCCGTCCCGGCCGCCTCGACCAGCTCATCTACATCCCATTGCCGGACGAGGCCTCGCGGCACCAGATTTTCAAGGCCTGCCTCAGGAAGTCTCCCGTGGCCAAGGATGTCGACCTCGGCGCGCTTGCAAGGTTCACCGCCGGCTTTAGCGGTGCCGACATCACGGAGATCTGCCAGCGGACGTGCAAGTACGCCATCAAGGAGGACATTGAAAAGGACATGGAGAGGCAGAGGATGGGGAAAGACACCATGGAGGTGGACGGTGGGCAGGAAGACGAGGTGGCTCAGATTAAGGCGGTTCACTTCGAGGAGTCAATGAAGTATGCGAGGAGGAGCGTGAGCGACGCCGACATCAGGAAGTACCAGGCCTTCGCGCAGACGCTGCAACAGTCTAGGGGGTTCGGCACCGAGTTCCGCTTCCCGGCGCAGCCACACGCGGCAGAAGCTGCTGTCCACACCTCCGCGGCAGCTGATGAGGATGAAGACGATATGTACAAGTGATCCAGTAACCATTGCTAGAACATGAAGTAGGAGTACCAGAATATTATAGACTCTGTTTTTGTTGATTCTTTCCATGTACGTAATTTTCATTGTAAGAATTTACATACATCATAGAAATACAGTTGATGAAATAATAAACTCCTTGTATTTGTAGGCAGTGATGAGACTCTGAAAACTAGCCTAACCGTTAACTGAACCCTCAATTACACGAAACTACCATCGTTCTCTCAACCCCTCCTGCACAAGGCCATGGGAAAATTTTAAAAATGGGAAAATAATTGCCTGATTAATGTCCGATTAATTTTGAATTGAACTTGTAAGAACAAGAGCAGCTGATGAGGATGAGGACGATCTGTACAAGTGATCCAGTAACCATTGTTGGAAAATGAAGTAGGAGTACCAGAATACTATTATAGACTAGTATATGTTTTTGTTCTGTTTCCTCATTGATCACTCTATATTGTTGATTCTGTCCATATATATAATTTTCGTTTGTACGAATTTGCATACATCATAGAAATACAGTTTTTTTTAGATAATAATAGAAATACAGTTGATGAAATAATAAGCTCCTTGTTGCGCTTTCCTTTTATTAGTACGGCGTGATGAGACTCTGAAGAATAGCCTGCAGGTTTTGCTCTCTCAACCCCTCTCTGCTCCTGCACCAGACCACAGGAAAAAAAGGAAAATAGTTGCCTGTTTAATGTCCAGTTAATTTCTCACTGAACATGTAAGAACAGAAACACCTGTTGTCTGAAACTTGTGGCTCTCAACAGTCTCAGTTGCCGAGAGCTCTTTGTTAGCCAAGAATGAGTTGATCTATACTACCCTTATTCTAAGGTCAATTGGTTGTTTTTTTTTAGAAAAGGAGGATTACCCCCGACCTTTGCATCTGAAAGATGCATGCGGCTATATTATTAAAAAGAGTCAAACAAGTAACAAAGTCTGCAATCAAGGTACAGCTCGCAAACGGAGCAAAGAAAGAAAAAGAAAACATAGTAAACTCATAGCCACAACCGGCTGGAAAATAGAACAAAATGACAAAACACCTATCCTATTATGAGGCCAATTGGTTGTACCCAACTGAATGTTATTCAGCCGGCTTTTCACAGTATGCCCTTCCTGTTGTGAGTTTTGGTTGGGGGTACTTGCTTGGTGCTCATGATCACAGTGTCCACCATCAACGGCCGGGCTGGGCATACTGCTTGATGCTCATGATCACATTCACAGAATGCACTTACGGTTTGCAACAAGAGAAAGAAAGAAGGAAAGTTTCCTTAGGTTTAACTACTCATAAGTTCCTCTAGGTTTCGAAGAGTTAAATTGCTGTCGTAAGTTCCTCTTTAGGCCTTGTTTGACATAGAGGGATTTCCAGCCCCATAGGGGAAGGGGATTTTAGAGGATTGGGTGAATCCCTCTCTTCCACCCAATCCCCTCAAATCCCTTTGAATCAGCAATCCCCCTCCAATCAACATATTTCAGAGGAGTTTGGCTAGTAGTCCCTTTTCCTCCCGTCTCCCGTTGGAGGAGCTGCTGCTATGGGCGGAGAAGAAGGAGCTGCGAGCCGGCGGAATCTTGTTCCGCGAGGGGCTACGAGAGGTTGCTGAGCCGCGTGGGTTGGGGGGGATTGGCCGGGGTTGGAGTGGTTTGGCCCATCTAATCCCTGTGAATCAAATGGGCTGACGGGGTTTTCTGGGGATTCTGGGCCCTGCGGGCATATTCCCTTGTAATCCTCTTCAAACCTCTTCCATCAAACGAGGCCTTAAGGTTTCAAAAACTTATAAGTTGCTGATTGGAGTGGCCACTGTCATTCCTGCAATTAAATGGCTACGGAATTCCCGCTGCCAGCTCAAGTAGATCTTTTTTTTGGCTGCTAATCCAAAATAGATTGAATACCAGTGCACTCCTGCAGAGGAAATTTTTCTTTGTTGCAGACTGCACTTGTGTTCTACTCTCTCCGTCCCGTAATATAAAAGCGTTTTTGACACTATGGGACGGAGGACAAGGATCTCTTTTTTTATCTCATGTGAATTTGGACACCGATGCAGTGTGACATTGAGGGACAGCTTAATCAACTTAAAGCATAGCTTATCTGCAATTCTTCCTTGAGCTCATCACTTTAACTTCCTGGGGTATTTGGAACACTACAAACGATTTCATTTTTAAAGGCATTCAATCAAATTTGTACTTCAGTTGATTCAGTACAGAGCACAGCGAAATAAATACAAAGCTTTTGGCGATTAGTAGATCCAAATATCCAAAGCTTTTGGCAGTAGCAGTGTCTCTGTTGTACAATTTCTCTGCTGTATAGTTTTTATTTGGATTAGCTTCTTGTTAAAAAATGAAAAAAAATTGAAATGGATATTCTTTTTAATTATAATCCAATTGGTTTATACTTTATAGCGCAACAATACCATTCCTCTTACATTTTCACCACGATAACACGCAGTCACTAGTTACTCCTACGAGCTTAGCTTAGCTTATTATAACGGAATGTGGAGGATGACTGAGAGATTGTCACTAGCCCCATCACTCCAACTTCCCTATTGTAATTGTAACCTGACAAGCTGACTACCATTGGTTTCAGTTCAGACGAGCTTGTAGCCGGTGACCCAGACGCTCGCCGGCGGCGCGGCGTGGGCGTACTCGAACGTGACGCTCCCGCCGGCGGGCACTGATGGGGCCGTGCCCTGGAGCACGTGGCCATACCGATTCTTGTCGAGCCCCGTCGCCGGGCCGTAGAGCTCGGCGATGCCGAGGTACAGCTCGTGCACCGTCTTGTTCAGCGACCTGTTGGTCACCGTCACCGCGTACCGGTGGAATGTCCGGCCCTTCTCCGTCCATGACGCCGTCGCGTTCTGCTCGATCACAATCGGCGACGTGTGCTCACCTTGATCGGCCGCTGCAACGCGCACATGGTGAAGAATCAAGAGTTAGTCGTCTCTCGGATTGGGTGGTAAAAATGACGAAAACTCTGTTACTGAACTGAATCTTGAAAGCCATGATGTTGGGTAGATTATTACCAGCAGAAAGCGATGGCGCTACTGAGGTCTGGTTGTCAAGCCCTGCAAGAAAAGAGTCACGAATCAAATGATGCTTAAACCCTGAGATAATAACTTCTGAAAAATTGGGTGCAAACGACGTACCATCTGGAATTGACCGGCCAAACCGGCCGCCGGCGGCGAGCCGAGCGAGCACGCCCATGAACGGCGCGTTGTTGTAGGTGGGCGCCTCGGTCTGCTGGTAGTTGTTCCTGTCGTCGACGAAGTTGTCGTTCTCGTCCGGCCCGCCGACGATGGCGCCGTCGAGCAGGTTCGGGTTGCTGCCCTTGCGGGGATACCAGATCTTGTACCCGGCTTTGCAGGCCACGAACGACGGGTTGGACTTGAAGGACACGATGGACGCGCCGCGGTGGTGCGCCTCCAGCGGGTAAATGAAGCCGTACCCGACCATGTAGCTCGTCGCCCTCGGGTTGCTCCCCAGGATGTAGTCCACCTGGGACTTGGCGAACGCCATGATCTGCGCGGGCGACGCCGCTCCGGCCGGGCACCACACGACGCCCTGCCTGGCGGCGGCGAGGCTGTCGGAGTAGGCGGCCAGGAGGAACGACCCGCTGGTCACGTACTGGAGGTTGTTCCACTGCTGGTGATACAAGAGGCCGCCGGGCGTCCGCTTGACGTTGCCGTAGCCCTGCTTGCCGAGGGACGCGCAGACGACGAAGTCCGCCTTCTGCCGGTACCGCTGCAGCACGGCGGTGTGCGCGCCGGCTCTGCCTTGCAGCAGGATCTTGGCGGCGAGGACCTGCACGCCGGCGTACTTGATGTCCCAGCTGAACATGGCGGTGGACCAGCCCGTGCCGCCCATCGCGTCGGCGTTGTTAGCAAGGTAGTCCAGGTAGCGCCGGTCGTCGGTCGCCTGGAACAGCCACGCCGCCGCCCACAGCAGCTCGTCCTGAAACCACACCACACGGATTAGCGACCTGACGGGATGCCAAATGTTGAACATGCATGGCGGAGTCTCCATCCGATCTGATTGCTTACGCTGTATCCGCTGACTGACTGGTAATAGTTCCTCGCCACAGGGATGCTGGCGTCGTACCTTCCCCGGTACTTGTCGGCGAAATCAAACAGCTGAGCCATCCACCAATGGAGCCAAGAAACATTAGGACCAGCTACCGGATCATTTCATCTGTGCATGTTGTTAGTTTAGAATAGACAAACCTGCTTGGAGTGTTGCAGGAGTAGGTTCGCGTATCCCGGGTTGGAGCGGCGGAACACGAGCGACGCCGCGGCCATTGCGGCGGCGGTCTCTCCGGCGAGGTCGGACCCCGGGCGCTGGGGGTCGAGGCGGTACGCCTGACGGCTCGTCGTCATCTCCTCCGGCCGCTGCCAGCAGAAGTGGTCGGTGTCACCGTCTCCCACCTGCACAAGAATCCATTCGAGATGCGTACACTTGGTCAGCATGCACTCGAGTGCTTCAAAAGCAAGCAGGACGAACCTCTCCGTAGAGCACGTTGGGCTCCGGGTGCGCCTTGACGAAGTAGTCGGTGCCCCACTTGATGGCCTCCAGGGCGTTGCCGAGCTCGCCGGCCGCCTGCATCTGCCCGCCGTACTCGAGGACGCTCCACGACATCATGGTCACCGTGAACGCCATCGGCAGCCCGAACTTGACGTTGTCGCCGGCGTCGTAGTAGCCGCCCGTGAGATCCACCTGAGTTGGAAAATGCAGAAGTTAATGTATACTGGTACACAGATTAATTAGTTGCACCCAGATTTGAGATTTGCAATAGGCA